GTTCTAATAAAGGAGAGACAAGTATAGCTCACAACTGTTCAAACAAATTAAATAACAAATATAATGTGTAATAACACCCAAATTAATAACAATATATCAATATATTTTACACTTAATATTCTTTAAATTTAAATATTCAAGTAATGATAGTAAAACTATTAAAAATTAATATGTGTATGATATTTATATAATTAATGTACCTTGCATCCAAGAAGGTGCAACTTGACTATTAACCACGCTCTGCTACCCAAATGTTTCGCCCTAGTCACTCCTGCCAAGGCGGTCGGTGTCTAGGACTTGCACCTAAATGAATGGGACGAGTACACAATCTACTAATCGAATATAAACTAAATAATAACGAATGAAATCAATTAACATATATTGGCATAAGAATATAATAGGTAATAAATAATAATATAATAATAATGTCACTGGAGTGATCAGCCACCAGTGAACACAAACAATATTAGTTATAAAACATTAAATGACAACAAGCTAAAATAGCGGGCGAACTGCTCGTAACAAATTATATAATATTAAAGGGAGAATGAAATCCACAACCACGTGGACTGCGGAACTGCAGGAATCACCAATCAATCTTGATCACACATGAACTGCTACTGAACTGTAGTACAAAATTGACGAACTGGCTGGACGAGAAGATGTATCGACGGCAGCCACAAGTTTAATAGAAAAATCTAAGAAAACTATTTGATGCCGAACTGGCTAATAACGATGATCGGAGCACAATCAAATATCACGAGCTGTGTGTAAAAACCGTATACGAACAACAAAACATTGTTTTGCAATATGGCGAACGGCCGACTCGTCCGCGTAACGGTGTTTATCCGCCGTCTCGAGCTAGACCGGGAGGGAGGTAGAGGGAGCGTCCTCCGCCAGTGTCACCAACGACGGACAGTGGGCACAGCCGCCCAAGCATAAAGTGACCAAGTCCGAACATACTCCCCCTTGGGATACACAGCGGGTATCACAACATGGAACTCGGACTTAGGGTGATGTAGAGCTTGATATGTATTTGGAACGGCGTGCTGGTTTGGACGAACTGAAACAGCGAGCTGCTAACATCGGAGCGGAACTGGAATCCGAATTTAACGGTCGAACTGACTCGAGCGGGAGTCGCAGTGACTTCTACGGTAGAACTGACCTTGATGTAAGTCGTAATGACTTCGACGGTAGAACTGACCTTGATGTAAGTCGTAATGACTTCGACGGCGGAGCTTACGTGGAGCGCAAGTCATCTTGACTTCGTTGGCGGAGCTGTCTTGATGCGGATCCATACCGTCACGGAGATTGAACTGGAGCTGTTCAGGTGATGATAGAGCTTATCTGAACTTGAGGGGGGAAATACATTTTTTTTTTTTTATAATAATAACAATAACGAGCAGTTACCAGGTATACATTTTAATAATGAAACAAAATTAATTAGAACAATAAATGACAATAACAACCATAAAAATAGCTAAGTTATTATAATATGATTATATAACAAATAATAAAAGCAAATTACTTACAAAATGAATCATTGTTGGTGCCGAACTAAACACCAACCACGTAACAGCGAAACTAGAGCGAACATGGGGTAAAGATAAACATCATACACAAATAAAAAATTAAAAAATGAGCCTTGAGTAGACTGAACTGTCTCTCCTTCACTAATTATATAAAACAGAATTTATTATTATTGAGTGGGAAGCGGAACCAATTTCACTACAGGTCTAGTAGTGAGGCCTTGTCTCGTGAGCAATTTAACTACTCTTACGACACCGTCTGAACCGGGTAGAAGCTCTTGGATTCGACCCAACCTCCACACTAACGGGGAAGAGTTATTGTCCTTGATAATTACTAACTCACCTAGTTTAAGATTCTCTTGGTTAACTAACCATCGTCCTTTGGTCTGTAGAGTATGCAAATACTCGTTGGACCAACGACGCCAGAACGATTGAAAAACCTGGTGGAGGAACTTCCAACGGTTTTTGAGATTTGTCGAGCTGACGGAGATCTCTGGTTCAGGCACTGCACACAAGTGTCTACCAACAAGAAAATGACCAGGGGTAAGACAATCTAAATCATTCGGGTCATTAGACGACGGCGTTAACGGCCTAGAATTCAATACCGACTCTATTCTACACAAAATTGTCGTGAACTCTTCGTACGACAGAATCTGGTTACCGACTACCCGAACCAACAAGAGCTTAGTGGAACGAACAGCGGCTTCCCAGAGCCCACCAAAGTGGGGAGCACTAGGCGGATTGAAATTCCAAGAACAAGCAAAAGCGGAACTGAGCTGATCGCGGTTTTTAGGGTCATTAATTAGGTCAAAAAGCCTTTTCGACGCTCCAACAAAATTAGTCCCACAGTCGGAATACACTGCCGACGGCATTCCTCGCCGAGCCACGAAGCGGTCGAACGCTGCCAAGAAAGCATCTGTGGACAGATCTGTCACTAGCTCAAGGTGAACTGCCTTGACGCTCATACATACAAACACTGCAATATAGACCTTATATTGCCGTGCCTTTCTTAGGTTAGTTTCCTTTATAAGAAGCGGACCAGCATAATCAATACCTACGCAGGCGAAGGGATGACACTGTTGGACTCGAAAGTCAGGTAAATCAGACATTATTGGTTGCGGGTTGCGAGCGGACAACCTGACGCAAACAGTACATTCACTAATGGCACGACGGATAACATAACGATCGCCTACGATCCAAAACTGTCTACATATTAGATCTGACATGAGACGAGGACCAGCATGACAAGCGAACCGATGCCAATGTCTTGCAACGAGCAATGACAAATGAGAGGATTTGGACAATAGAATAGGAAACTTGCGTCGATCTGACAACAAGGAATGACGAAGGCGACCGCCCACCCGAATGACGCCATTTTTATCTATAAACGGTGATAGACGAGCCAATGGACGAGAAGAGATAGACTGACCAGATGATAGCTCTCGGAGCAAAGCCTTAAAAAATATAGCTTGCGAGCATTTGACGATCGCTAATAGCGCATCATTATAATCATAGAAAGAAATAAAACTTGTATCTACAGGAGTCTTGCGGTATAGTTTTACAAGACGTTGTAAGCGAACAACAACCCGCAGCATGCGATTTAATGATGAAAATCGCGAAAACCATTCATTTACCTCCCCCGTCATTTCGACAAAACAAGACACCGATCCTGAAACCTCGGGTAGCTGATTCGATGGAATCAGTTCAACCTTGGATGACCAACTTTCACCGAACTGATGTAAAAAGGAAGGACCCGTCCAATAGAGGTCACACTGAGCTAGTTCTCCAGGGCGTAATCCTCGGGAAGCACAATCAGCTGGATTTATGCTAGTATTGACATAAAACCAACGACAGAGAGGCAACAACTCTCGAATTTTGTTAACTCGATTTGAAACAAAAATCTTATAAGACATATGTGGTGTTTTTAACCACGATAATACCACCAACGAATCTGACCAAGCGAAAACATTGTCGATAACGAGCTGAGACGACAAAGTGCTTTGTATACGACTTAACCAGCGAGCAAGTAATCCAGCAGCACATAATTCAAGACGAGGTATGGACATAGGTTTGGTGGGAGCTAATTTGGTTTTACTGCCTAGCAAGAACACCGAAACTTGGTGATGACGATCGGACACACGCAAATAAATAACAGCAGCATAACCTTTGTTTGACGCATCTGCAAAGCCACACAACTCATATCGGGAACCTTCCGATGTACCAACGAACCTCGGTACTCGAATCGCAGATAAACAATGTAAATCTTTAACAAACGACATCCAAGAATTTTCTAATGCTAATGGAAGCCGTTCATCCCACGAAACACCGGCCTGCCAAACGCACTGCAGTTGATGTTTAGCATAAAAGATCACTGGAGACAAAAAACCGAGAGGATCAAAGATCCGAGCGATAACTGATAACATACTGCGTTTTGATGACACAAACTTAGTCGAACTGACGTTATAGTTGAAGGTATCATCATCGGGATTCCACTTCATACCCAAAACTTGAACTGAAAGGGTATCACCATCGTTGAACGGCAGCGAGCCTACTGCCCTGTCCTCCGGAAGTATGTTCTCCAACAGCTGAGGTGAATTACTCGCCCACTTCTTCAGTTCTAGACCGAACTGGCCAAGAATATTGATCAAGTCGCTTTGAAAAGCCTGAGCATCACTAATGCAGTCTGCACCAGTGCATATATCATCCATGTAGGTCTGGTATAATAGAGCCGACTGGACTAATGGGTACTGTTCACCATGACTGATGGCAATTTCCTTTAATACCCTTAACGCCAAATAGGGAGCGGAGGCGACACCATATGTGACAGTGTTCAATTCGAACTCTTGAATCTTGTCATGAGGTGAAGACCGCCACAAAATGTGCTGACATCGTCGGTATTCTGGAGCTAACCAAATCTGCCGATACATCTTGCAGATGTCCGCAGTAAAAACAATTGCATGAAGACGGAATCGAAGCAGAATATCTACTATATCCTGCTGGAGCTTCGGACCCACTAACAGAGCGTCGTTGAGTGAAGTGTTTGATGGAGGTCGAGCTGACGCGTCGAACACCACTCGGAGCTTGACGTTGTTACCCTCCATCTTGCGAACTGCATGATGAGGCAGAAAATAAACACCAGGGGATTCCGCAACTGACATATGGCCAAGCGACTCATAATCTGCCATGAACTGCCTATATGCAACGTACAATGCTTCATCCCGTATTAATTTACGCTCCAGATGCTCAAAGCGAATTAGAGCCATTTGGCGCGAGCCACAAAAGGTTGACGACGTGGGTGGAACACGAAATGGAAGCGGAACTACAAACCGACCCGAACTATCGCGGTAAGTTTCCCGTACAAAGATTTCTTCACATTTTCCTTCTTCGGTGAAAGACAACGGCACTTCTTCCGGCTCTTCGACTTCCCAAAATCTTTCAACTAAAGATTCGATGGACGTAGCTAGTAACGAAGTCATGATCTGTGGTGGAACCGGCGACGGATGGGAATCAACCGGACCAAGAAGAATCCAACCGAAGATGGTCTCGAGAGCAGTGGGAAAACCGGTACCCAAATCTTCTCTACCACTGCGGAGCACTCGCGGAAAAACGTCGGCTCCAAGCAGTAACTCGACCGGAGCTGGCGAGTCAAACTTGGGGTCAGCTAAGTTGAGGTGAGAGCACTTGTCCCGAACGAAGGTAGGTAGCTGAACTGCTGGTAATGAACCGGTGATCTTGGGCATTGACCAAGCGTCTAAAACTATGGTACCACTATCGTCGACTAATTGTATGCTGATCTGCACTTTGCCATCGATGGTCTGCACGGATTGCCCTGCTATTCCAGACACTGGTACTGTCCATGGTTCACGACGTAGACCTAAGCGCTGAACACATGCGGATGAGATGATACTCACCTGTGAGGCAGAATCAATTAAGGCCCGAACTGGACGTGAACATCCAGCTATGTCAAGAACGTTGACCGAAGCTGTTCCCAATAAGACTGAACGAGATCGTTGAGAATCAACTAACAATGCAACCGGAGCTTTGGGCGCAGACGATTTAGCGTGGGAATTATCCCGATGTAGCAGATGGTTATGACGACCATGGCAAATGGAACACGACGACTTGCATTTATTGGCCCAATGATTATTGCCAAAACAAATCATACACAAGCGATGCTTACTCACTAGAACGTAGCGATCATCAACAGACAATTGTTTAAACGTGGGGCACGACTCTAAAGAATGCGAATTACTGCACTGTAAACATCGTCTGGCTTCTTCACCCTGCTTATTAGCGACTAAAGCCACTGGAGAACCCTGATGTCCCCGAAAAGCTTTCGCACCCTGAACTTTCGCGTTGGATGATTTGGGCAGATTTATGACCGCCTTTGTCTGGGTCTTCGGTGTGGAATGGATCTGAGCTGATCCGGAATTTTCCAACACCTCTACCCGATCCTTGACAAAACAGAGCAAATTGTCCACCGTAGGAAAATCGACCGTATTACCCTGTTCAAACAGACGACGAGTAGTTGGTGGCAAACAGCGAACAGAAATCGTAAATAACAGAAACGAACCGATATCAGTTATATTTAAAGACCTGAGCAAGGCTATGTTTTCGCAGAATGTATTTAAAAAATTTATTAATGCGGCCGGAGACTCTTGTTGATTATTCGTAGCGGTTAACATTTCATTAACTAAAGTGGTCGCTAGCTGCCGAGGCTTGTCGTATCTTTGAACTAAAGCGGACCAAGCAAGCTCATAGGTGGATTCAGAAACAGTAATACCTTTCACTACCTCATTAGGACCAGACTGTAGACAACCTAATAAATAATAGAATTTTTCAATGTTACTGAGATGAGCTCTCCGACCTACTAAAGTGGTAAACCGATCCCTAAAATCGGGCCACGATTGCAAACGACCATCGAAAGTAGGTAATGGAATCTTTGGTAACTGAACGCTGGAACCAGAGGATTCTGTACTGGCAATAACGGGACCCACCTGAGCTGTTGGATTCACCATTAAGCCAGTATTATCACCATCAAGCTTATCAACGACACTAGTCTCACTGACCAAACCAAGACTATCTGAACTAGATTGGAACTTGTTAACCAAAGCTTTAGCATTTAGAAAGGTACTGTGAACCTCCAACTCTACATTATTTGAAAATTCATCATCATTACCCAGCTCAATCATAGCTTCCAACAGGGAATCATTTTCGAGGGTGAACTTTGTCCAATAGCTGTGAAGATCCTCAGCAGCTAAAAGAAATTTTGGAATGATAGAGCTATCTGTTGAAGCATTGAGGCCTAAAGAATAGATTGCTTCAATATGACTTGCAGCAGCATCACGTCTCCTCATTGCACGCTGTTTATCACGAGTAAGTCGTTCAACGTCAGCCATGACGACACAATAAAAAAACTAAAAAGAATACCAATAAAATGCTAGTGCAAAATAACTATCTACTAACGACAAAGGAAAAGCTTTCCGCAAGAAAATAATATGAAATTTAAACAAATAGTGCTTAAGAGTTAAGAAATTAACATTAAACAGAAAAGAATGACTAGTTATAACAACAACACATTAATTCAAACCTCACTCTTTCAGAAAAAAAATTGAAATAATAATAACAAATTTAGCTACTCCTAACTCATAGCACAAAACAATGAATAATTAATAATAAAAAACCAAATGTAACAACAACAAAAGAAACTATTTAACAAAATGTCAATATAGAAATATTATATCAACGTTAACCTTATAGTAATAACAATCTTAAATAATATCAAAGAGCTGTAAAATTATAATCTATCAAGTAAGCCACTCTCCTCAATAATGTTAAAATAATAATAATCAAGCAATATAATATTATAAAAATATATCCAAAAAAATAGAACTTATTTAATGGTTAAAAAGGTACGAACTGTACTTACATTTACTAAATATCAGACTTGAATAATAAATATTACAATATTCAACTAAACTAAACTAATATTATAATATTATATTGCTCCAATAACACTAACAAATGAATCAAATAAAATTTAATAAAGGAGAGACAAGTATAGCTCACAACTAATTCAAATTAAATTAAATAACAAATATAATGTGTAATAACACCCAAATTAATAACAATATATCAATATATTTTACACTTAATATTCTTTAAATTGAAAATATTCAAGTAATGATAGTAAAACTATTAAAAATTAATATGTGTATGATATTTATATAATTAATGTACCTGTGCATCCAAGAAGGTGCTGCAACTTGACTATTAACCACGCTCTGCTACCAAATGTTTCGCCCTAGTCACTCCTGCCAAGGCGGTCGGTGTCTAGGACTT